AAGAACCCCATGAGTCACTGGCAAGACGTCAGACACATTAGAGTTTATGATTGCTTGCTGTGTTCTGCCAGACAAATAACTAAAAATGTAGAAAGCAGCACTATTATCAAAGCCAAAGTACATTAACTTTTTACAAAGGATAGGGTGGTCCAATGTGTCGAACGCCTTGCTATAATCTAAAAGAATCAAGGACGTAATTAAACCATTATCAGTGGCGTTATAAATTTCATCTGAAATACGTGCTAATGCAGTAGTGGTACTGTGCTGAGGCCTAAAGCCGGACTGAAAGGAAGGGATAATATCATTATCAAAAATAAACTGCGACATTTGTGTTTTCATAACCATTTCGAGAACTTTGGAGATAATAGGAAAGATACTAATAGGCCGAAGATGATTTAGATCGGTAGCATTAGGTATTTTCGGCAACAAAATAACATTAGCATTTTTCCAACATCTGGGAGAAGTGTGCGTTAAAATGGATGTATTAATTATATAAGTAAGGCGATTTAATAAATAATGTTCTGCAACCAATTTGAGCATGATAACAGAGATGTACCTAGTCAGAACCAGCTGATTGAGATTTGATCAAATTAATGTACTTACTAATATCATTGGTGGTCACAGTATGAAAATAAAATATATCAATATTTTTAAATGGAACATAATTGTTATATTTATTACGCAATTCAGCTTGTTCATGAGAGGATGAAATTGACATGACATTATTAAAATAAGTATTTATTACATTGGGATCATGTAAGTGTATAGGAAGGCAAAATTCTCAAGCTGAACCTGCTGAACCGACAACCTCCAGAGATCTCAAGGTATTCCAAGTGGATCTATTATTTTTATTTTTAAGGACCCAAAATAAATACGACTTTTTTTCCCTACGGATAGCCACAGTGACATAATTTCTAAGATCTTTATAACAGGACCAATCTCTACCTAATCGAGACTTTTTGTATTTATGATAAGCCTTATCTCTTAACATAATCATCTCCTTAATGGTGTCGGTGAGCCATGGGGCACGTCTTTTAGTCACTCTAACAGTACGCAAAGGTGCATGCTTATCAATAAGTTCAAGTAAATTAGAATTAAAATAATCAAGCATGGCATCTACACTCTGAAGACTGTAAATATGATTCCAATTTATAATAGACAAATCTTGATGAAATAAATGATCATCGAAGTATTTAAAATCTCTATATGTAACAAACCGTATGATGAAATAGAATGATCATAATAATAACAATTTTTTCATTTTTTATCTCTACAATCGTCGCTACTGCTACATGTCTCGCCAACAATTGAATTGAGTGTGGTGCGGAACGAATAGTACTATGTGGACACGCAGGGCACGGCGTCTCACCTGTTTACTTTGTTTGGTTTAAACCGTAGGTGTAGGTACAGTTAAAACCGTGTAATGTATGGTGCCCTTTACATTTATATTTCGCGAATGTGAGGTCTTGGTTTCTTTTAATTACGTTAAGAAAAATGAAAAGTTTTTTGATAGGAATCAAAATATTTGAATTTCAAATAATTTCCAAATTTACTAGTTGATTATAAGAATTAATTTTCATTATTAGAAACTCTGTATTAGGCATACAATGTTTGTGTAGAAATTTTTTACAGTTATTTGAAAACTATTTTTATGTAGTAAAGATGTAATAATATATCCCAAGATTATTCTATTAGTGTTTCTTCTTCTGTTTATCTGATCTCTATAACAGAATACTATATTAATAGAAAATTGATTACATAAATTATCAATATAATTGTTGATACAATCACTAAAGAAAGTTACAATATATATCCTAGATGGAATAGTATTCCAAATTAGAGCGATTTCAAATTTTCGCTCAATTTTCAAGTCAGAACGAAGTCGTCTCCAACGACCCTACGCAGGACCGGTCTCGCCTAAAGTAAAGACACACGTGTGGAGGAAGCAGAAGTCGCAGCGCGAATACAATTTTCGCCTGTTTCAAAGTTCTCTAGAAGGCTTCAAACCGCTTCTAATCACCAAAGTCGCAGAAGACAATACGTAAGTACATATTAGCAAATTAAATTTCATTGAAATTAGAGGAAATGTTAGAATCACATGGACGGAATTAAAATTTTTGACATTAGTGAGACATCATACATATTATTGCATATGATTTAAATTAGATGGTCATAAACCTCATTTTTTAAAGAAATTGCGGCACATAGGTACATTATATGATTTCGTGATAGTTATGCAATGAATATGAAATAATACCTACTTCGACCAATAAGTGTACATATGGCAAACTGGCATTTCTGACAAATGCGCAACAGTACAAATATTACGGGGAAACGATGTGCTGTGAAAATAAACTATTAACACTTACGAATTTCATGAAATATCGTACATAAACAACCACATTTTTACATTGTAAACCACAAAAAAATATTTATTTTAAAGTACCTACAAAAATAGTTACATTGTTACTGTGAAAATTTCTGGAATCGAGGACAAGACGACACGTAAATCATAAAGTAAATATGACCACTAGTATATTGAATTATCTTATTTACCTTCTATGAATTACAATTATTTTCAGGAAAATCCGAGTTACAAGCACCAGGGAATGTCATCTCTATGTTTATTTATGAATACGTAGATGGACAGAATCCCAGGTCACCAGAATAATAATTCTGTCAATGATACTTTTTTATGTCTTATTATCAGACTGAATATTTAACATGTCATTCAGCAGAATAAATACCTTAGAGAAAAGTAAATAATTCGTTTTTTTTAATTAATCGATAAAAAATGTGTTTCCATCAAATTCTCCTTATTGATGTATAGGTACCCACTAAACACGAAACGTAAATGAAACGTTGCAAATGAGCTGTTTTACTACACATTTGAAACAATAACTAGAAACGTTGCTGTTTCATTACAGAAATGTAGCACTTGAAAACTTACTTAGTGAAACATAGCCGAAACATTCCAATTGAAGAGAGTTTGAAACATTACTCGAAACATTCCCTTTCGATCTCGGAAACGTAACAACGACAAACAAACAACCCTTTGCTTTTGTTTATCTTATGGAACTTCCATTCGGCATTACTTAAATTTTGCTCTCAAGCCCCATCATTATAGCAAGCGTTAGTTCATTTGCCTTTGTTATATGTACAACCAGACATAAACAGAAAAAAAATTGTGGTAGCATATTTATAACACAAGTCTAGAAAAAATGTATGTTCGTGACTTGCGCAGACCGCGCGTAACAGCCCGAATTTATTTATTTCTCGTGTGCCGTTTTCAATTCGTATTATGTTAGGTGTTAGGTTAGGTTTGCGGTTTGCCTTTACCCGTTTGCCTGGCTTCGTTGTTCTTCATCGTTACCAGGGAGAATAGTCTCCATGATCGTTACTTTGATGCTATTTTATGTGATAATTTATAGTGTGTGCAGTTGTGGTTATTGTAAGGTGCATATAAAATAATGAATATTGATGCAAAATGTTTAAAACGATATGTGTAGAGATTTCGAATTTTGCGTCACATCTACCTAAACATAGTTATTATACCCACTACCTAATACCTATTAAAGACAAGAGGACAAAAACTAAAAAAAATGGAACATGGAACTATACGTTTCGGAGAACTATTTGAAATACGGAAGAATCAAGTGAAATATATGTCATTTATTTTATATTTTGTACAAATGTTTATATTTGTGTACGTGTATAGGAATGCTTAAATAAAAGAGTTTAAGTATACCTACAAATATTTATTTTTTCAAGATATCCTTTTGTATCTTATTTATTTCTACTGTAAAATTTATTATAAAAAGGTTAGATGTAATATTGACTATGCGTAGAAGAAATTGTAACTTCTTTATATTATTTTTCAGTAATGTTATTTGTTTTTCATGTACCTACCATTTCAAGATTCATTATCATAACTAATTTTTTTAATTATCATTTCGTCATTGTTACCATATTCATGATGGTCTCAACATTAGAAAATTTCCATTTCAGAAGCGTATTTGAACAATATAAAATGATGTGTAGCTTTTTTAAAATGCTTCTGATATTGTTTTGTGACATTTTTATTTGTACGATGAATGGCAGAATCCGTAATCCATATTAGAAACTTTTTCAGTGGCTTCTCAAAAAGAAAAAAATTCTTGATAAAAGTTGCTGCATCCCCAAACTAGAAGAGCAGTTATTTTTTTTAATATACAATAACATTTTTCAGTTAAATTTTTTGAGAAATCAGAAAAAATTGTCTGGATTACGAATTAAGTCATTCACAATACAAATAAAAATATTACAAAAGAGTATTAGAAATATTTAAAAAATTACTCACACTGTTTATACTGTTTCAAAAACGCTTCTGAAATGGAAATTATCTAAAGTTGAGAGCATTATGAGAACAATATGGTATAAAAATTATTATGTTACTCAAACATTTCTGAAAATATACTGAAACGTAAAACAAAAATATCGAGTGCATAAATGGAACATCAAAAGAATGTTACTGAAACCAATTTTTTGAAACGTTTCATTGGAAACGTATTTTGGGGAGGACATCTTCGGTTTCTATTGGGTTACCAGAACGTTGCATGGATTTTTTATGAAACGTTTCAAGAAAAATGGAAACGTTTCTGGAACATGTCAGAAACTGAAAAATGTTTAGTGGGTAGGTACTTGAAATTAGAAAGACTTGACACTTTCTTTTAAAATAATACGTAACACCTAACAACATTCACATATTTTTAAATATTTCCGCAAAAATTAGTTGCAGTATTAAAGAATTTGTCAATACCCTAATCCCAATATAAAAAATTTAAATCCTTAAGACTGTTCAATAGTAAAAATTTACAATAAGTAATATTCTTTATCCAAATTAGGAATTTCTTCGTGCTATATGCAACACAAAATACAAGCCCTTAGAGCACCTTATTGTTTTGAATGTTGCCTAAAAATATGATTGTTTATGTTTTTTGTCATTTAGGTTATGTCTTCTTAAAAGAACATCATTTTGAGTTTATAAAACATTGATTTGGCTTTTTTCTAAATATTTGAAATATGAAATATTGTAGAGTTTGTCTGAGTGCTTCTGATTTAATGGATATATTCCAATTTGGTGAAAATATCGCTTCTAACATTATGCTATTTACCTCAGTACAGGTAAAACTGTAATAAACAAATAATCAGAACAATTATTTATAAGCTATCTAACAATATTTAAACCCTAGGTTATTGAAGGTGATGGTTTACCGCAACAGATATGTAGTTTATGCAAAATTGAACTTGATATTTGCCTCGGTTTTAAAAATAAATGTGAAGCAACTTATGAAACAATAAGAAGTTCTTGGAGTAATAAAATAAAAGTTGATCTAGTCGAAGCAGAAATAGAACATGAATCAGATTTTGAAACATATAGTGAACATTTTCCAATGGCAATACAAGAAAATACTTACATAACTTGTCAAAAATGCAATGTACATTTTTTGTCTCAAACATCTTTTAATAGCCACTTAAAAATAAAGCATGGGCATATATGTAATATCTGTGACTTGCATTTTAAATATCGAAAAGAACTAACCGATCACTTGAAGGATATACATGAAATCATATCTAAGCCAGAAAAGAATAAACAGTGCCACATATGTGGTACATGTTTCAAATACCACGCAGAATTAAAGAGACACACATTGACCCATTCTGGAATAAAAGAGTTTAAATGTAAAGACTGTGGTAAACATTTTTCTTCTAAGGGAGGCCTAAATAAACATACGGCAAGACACAGTAATGTTCGTAAATTACCTTGTCCGTCTTGTCCCAAAATGTTCATCCACCAAAGCAATTTACATGATCACATAAAAGTTCACATTAACCAAAAGAAATACAGTTGTCAGGTATGCAGTAAAAGATTTAAATCCAACCGAACTTTAGTATATCACCTGAAGATACACAGTAATGAAAGGGACTTTCCTTGTGCCGAATGTGACAAAGCATTTACAAACAAATATGACTTACTTAGACATGCAACACTGCATGAACAATCCAAAGAAACCAAAAGCAGAATATCAGGTAATGGAAAGCAATGTGAGTTGTGTGGTAAGTGTTGTCGAAATGTAAGCGATTTTAAGAGACACATTAGGGTACACACTGGTGAAAGACCTTATCGTTGTCCTCACTGTGAAAAGAATTTCAAATATTCAAGCACTTTAAGTTGTCACATGCGGATTCACACACAGGTAAATTTAATTTCAATCAGTTTTCTAAAGATACTATCGGAAAGTACTTAATCATGCATTTCTACAAATATTTATTAGAGGTATCTGTATTTCCTCCCACTTCATCACACGTGTCTTATATACATATTTCCTATTAAATTATTAAAAACAAAAATACAAACCGTGATTTATTGCATATATTTGTATTAAGTGATGTATAATTGTTAGTTCATTTAACCTTTAGAGGGTCGGCTTTTTTCCATAAATAGTTTTCTAGTAACTTGCTGGCTCCAAAAGGACCTTATTCCAAAAGGAATAAAAATTCTCTCTTTGAGCACGATTACTGAATATGATGGCTTATGGAGTTGTACAAGAGATTTGGGGTGATTCGACCCAGGAATGAGGGTGAAAAAGAATAAAATTTGAAATAACTTTTTTTTTAATTTAGAGAGCCTGCGTAGAGCTTGTAGCCCTGGGCCTCACCATAGGTTAATAAGGACCTGGTTCCTCGGTCCTCTAAAGGTTAAAAAAAACTCATTGCGACACTCAGAAATATTAAATAGAGGAATTTTTTTTAGGAGAGACCGTATGTGTGTAAGATTTGTGGGAAAGGCTTTACTCAGTCTTCAAATCTGCGCACACATGAAATAATACATTCCACTGATAAACCTTTTACATGTTGCAAATGCTTTAATTCCTTCAATCGAAAAAGGGACTTGCAGCGTCACTTGGAAAAATGTATGAAATTGAAAAAGAAATTATAGCTTAACACATTTTTATTATATTAATTAAGTATTGTCCATTCTGTATCTACTTGTTCTGGAGAATAGAAAAACAATGTTACACTTATTTTATGAAATTATAAAAATATATAATTGAAAAAAAATATAATTTTTATAAAGCAAAATAATAAATTTCAAAAAAAATATTTTCTGTTTCGTATATGAATCAGCTCCATTTAAGTCAATATTTAAATACACTTTACAGATATATAATGTAAATATTTCATTATTATATTAAACAGCTAAAATTGGTTATATTACTGTGTATAGGCTTTCCGATTTCAATTGAAGACCAAAGAGCTAGGCAGTATGTACCATGTTCGGCTGCTGCACAGCAACTTGGCATTGAAATATTTGAAAAACTTGTTCTCATATTTATTTAGTCATACCCATATACTGGTCTGGTTGAACTAAACGTGCAGGTGATAGAAATGTACACGACCAATTGACGAATGCGTGCGCGGGCAAACGCCGCACTGGGCGACTGGGTCATAAATTTCAGTTGTCGACAAATTGCCTAACAGTGCAGTGCAGCAATGTGGAATTATTTTAGTTGATTATTTTTAATTAATAACTTTTCTAACCTAAACTAACGATCTTTCTTTATCATTTCCTGGCAAGGATATGTTCATACCTTCCCGTTGGTTCTTATATATATTTTAATGAAAATGTAAATGTTTTTTGGTATGTCATAACCAAAATTTACCATCAATATAATAAAATTGTTTGAGGACATAAATAATTAAAATATATTATTGGCCAAATGAACATAATGGAAATTTTCTACATATTATAGATATACAAATTATTTTTTTCCTTTAGCAGAAAACTTTCTTAGGGACGCCTATGAAACTCATTAAATTTTATTGCTAGGCGTTTTCATACATATTCAACTGACTTCAGAAAGACTATAATTTAGATTTGCACAGCTACCTGTACTGGAAAATGACTTGAAACATCATACCAAATTTCTAATATAATAATGACCATGCAATATATGTACACCCAGTATACTTGTCAATTCTGTTTTATTTTCTCATTCATATGATATTTCCTTTATTTTTCCTTCATTCGTTCATTTATTGACATCAAAATTCAGTAGGTACTGACAAAAAAATTTGAAGAATGTGAAGGAAATCTGATTAATACTCAAATCTAGAGAAGTTTTTAAATACAAAACTACCATTCTTGACACCTTTATATCAGTCCTGCATTTCCTGTTTAAAATTATTTTCATATTCAGCCAAGCTTACTTCTTCATATGTTAAGCTATCATTTTCCTCCTCTGTATATGAGGAATGTAGGTTTTTGGATTGAGATCTAAGTAAATTTCCCACCTTTCTCTCAGATGAAGCAGGTTTCTCCGAGAAATGAAATTTGAAATGCTTATAAAAATTGGAAATGAGCCAAGTAGAATTGCCTTCTCTCCTTATTCTTTTCTGTGTCTTTATTTCAGTTTGACAAATGCAACACTTTATATATGCGTAATATACAGTATCCTCTGGCGATGCTGAGGAAATCTTTATTTCTAAACGATGTAATGTCTCAATAACTTTGTTTTGTTCTGACTCTGACAAAGTATCACTGAATTTCTTAATCCACTGGTAGCATATATCATACACATATTTGTATTCTTCTTGTGAATTCACAGAATCCCCTGATTTGTCCCCACTGATACTCTCGCATGCATCTGAACCTAAATCTTCAGATGCAATGGGAATAGGCAGATTTGAAATTTTCCTCCTTTTTGCGTTATAGTCATCACTGAAGAAAGACTCTTTTAATTTCATTTTATTGTTTTCTTCTGCACACATTTCACCTATTGCTAATAATAATTTTTTATGTCCGGGTAAAATGATAAAGTCTTCGATGTTTTCATTATAAAGATGATAAAATTCCTCATAGTTGACATTTGATTTTTTAAGTAAAATATATTTTAATTGGGTTTTTGCGAAAAGCTCAATTTGATTTATTTCTTTTTCTGTTATACCTGCTAATGAAAGTCTATTATCATATCCTGAATGTTTAAGAATATTTTTTAAGTACAAGGGTACTTCTTCGTGAAATTTTTCTCTTACCAATGCAAATAAATCCATGTTTCTTATATCCACAGTAATCTAAAATAATATGATTACATTGCTTAATCCACACATTAATACAAAATATGCCACAGAAGTGTAATATAAATATGTGAATTCAGAATGAATTTTAAAATATACCTAATGTTATTGAAAAATATTATTTGTTACAGTAACTTACCCGTATTGTTAAGAAAGTTTCCAGTTGTCAATTTTTTAATATGAATATGAATAAAATAGTTAGGTAGGTACTCAGAGGAATATGTTTACTTATTCCTCTGAGGTTAGGCACATTTGTTTGTTTTTATATGAAATATTTTTGTTTTCTTATTTTGACGTATGACAGATACACTAACATACAGGGTTGCCAGATTTTAGAAAGTTGGGATAGCGCCAACATTAGCATAAAAAGTTGCACAATGTCGCCATCTTAAAAGTTCGAAGTTTTTGTTTTAGANTTTGTTTTTATATGAAATATTTTTGTTTTCTTATTTTGACGTATGACAGATACACTAACATACAGGGTTGCCAGATTTTAGAAAGTTGGGATAGCGCTAACATTAACATAAAAAGTTGCACAATGTCGCCATCTTAAAAGTTCGAAGTTTTTGTTTTAGATTTTGTTTTTAGAATCCCAGTTACTCTGAATATTGTTTGGTCAATTAGATCACATCTTAGAGCATTATATACTATATTATGCTCTAAGAGTCAGATGGACTGAGACTGAACTAAGGATCTATTCAAAACACGACTAATTTTAAATGGTTAATGTGCTTTACTTTTCTTATAAACTTTTGTTTGCTGCGATTTTGTGTATTCCGCGAATGCAGCTAATCGCTCGCCCTCTGGCGGTGACAAGTGATCATAAATAGTGCAAGTGATACTAGCGAAACAAGGTAAACATTTCTTGTGTGTGGGACATTTCGTTTTGTATTTATTTAAAACTGTGTTTAGTGTTTGTTTTTTGAACACCATTACTTTAAGAAAATAGTGTGAGGAAAACTTCAGCAGTTATGGATAAAAAGAAGAAATTGTCGAACTATTATTGTTCAGATCAGGATTGTCCTTCATGGTCCAAAAAACATCCAGAATTAAGTTTTCATCAAATCATTAAAGAAATTTTTAAAATATTATTGTCGATATACAACGAGAGTTTTCGTAGGCATTTAAATAGGAAATTGGGTATTCACAACGGATAACTTATAACCTCAAAAAATGTACATTAAATTGTAATGCTAGAAACAAACAAGGTAGACATAAATACTTGCATTAAAATTTATTTATGAAATATTTGAAACTTATAAAATAACACAAAAGTCAAATAGCCGCAGTTTAATAACAAAATTACTAATAATAATGGGAAATATAATACGAATGTTGTTCAAATGAATGTGTAAACACGAACGCCAAGGTCAAAATTACCTTGTCTGGGAACTTACCGCTTTCGCCGCTTGGTGCGCTTGCATCTAAAAAATTATCGCGGTTATTATATTTATTAAATCAATGCCCGCAAAAAGTAGCCGCAATGGCGATATATCGCTACACCTGGCAACCCTGGAGAGATATGCTGACCACTGAACAGCATCGGTAGGAAAGAAGTAAACTCGACGGTGAGCACAGATAAAGTTAGACAGAAATGTGATTCGCCATTATTCCATGGCTAGAAATTGGCCTCAATGATTTGGGATCGAGGGGGATTATCCCTCTTTATCCTGCCTCATCTCGTGTAGGCCTGGACAGCCTTCGTAGGTGGGCCCCATCCGTCGTCTACCCCGACCGCAAATGCGGCCGGTGTAGGCGCTTTGTGGGACCTCCTTTTGTCCTGGCTGGGCCCCGCCGGCTAGGGCCCTTTCTTCTGGCGCTCTTCTTGCTTCGCCGGCTCGTCTGTGTAAACCCCGGGGGTAGTGTCATGTTTATGTGTGGTATGGTTGGGTAGGGTAGTGCGGCTATGCAGCCTGGGATGCGCTTTGCTAAGGTGGCCCTTAGGCTAGCGCGGGAGGGGAGGGTTAAGGAGGGTATGGGGGGTGTGTGTGTGTGTGTGTGTGTGTGTCGTTGTCTTCGTTTCTTGATCCTGGCTGTCTCTGAAACAGAAAAGGTTAGCGGGCAGGGGGGGGGTCATTGGGGTGGTCACCCAGGGTCAAAAAGTTGGTGTCTAGGTCTTTTGTGTTTGTCGGTCACGTCGGGTACGTAGTCAACGGCTTGCCTGAGGAGGGGATTGTCATGTCTAGCGGCTACGTCAAATCGTTTCTCCGCGTTTTGTCTTATTGTCTGTGTAGCGTTTGTGTATTGTAAGTCTCGTAATATGTCAGTGTTTCTTACGTACCAGGGCGCGTCGGTGGCCGTGCGGAGGGCTATGTTTTCCACAGCCTGTAATGACTTTAAGTGGCTTTTTGCCGCGTGACCCCACGCCGTGGAGGCGTAGGTTAGCTGCGGTTGAAGTACCACCTTGATAAGCGTTCGCTTATTCCTTAAACTGAGGGTGTTTCCACCTTTGAGTAAGGGATAGAGCCTAGCCCTGGTGGTCTTCGCTCGCGCCACCGTCTCCACGATGTGCGGTTTCCACGTGAGACGCTGGTCCATCGTCACGCCCAGGTATCGTGTTTGTCGATTCCAGGAGATGGGTTCCTGGGATAGTGTCAGTCTGTCAAGGTTTTGTGGGATTTTTCGTTTGGTAAAAAGGATAGCCGAACTTTTGTTGGGATTAATTTTGACTTTCCACCTGTTGCACCAGGTTTCAAGTTGGTCTAAGGAGCTTTGGAGGAGGTAGACGGAATATCTAGGATCTACGGATTGGGATGTGATTGTCAGGTCGTCGGCGTATAAGTATATGTTGGTGTTGGGGGGATGTGGGATGTCGGAGTTGTAAATGGTGTATAGGTGTGGGGACAGGACGGTGCCCTGGGGGACACCGGCCTCCATGGGACGGGTGGTGGAAAGGGAATCTTGGATTTGGATGCGGAATTTTCGGTGGTGTAGGTAGGATTTTATGAGTTTGGTAAAGGATATGGGATATTGGTTGGTGAGCATTTTCATCAGTAGGCCTTCATGCCAAACCGTATCGAAGGCCTTTGCGACGTCCAGGAAGACAGCACCAGTGTACTGTCCCCTGTTGAAGGCCGCCGTGATGTGCTCGGTAAGGCGAAGGATTTGGAGTTCAGTGGAGTGATTGGGTCGGAAGGCGAACTGCTCGTCTGGAATGACTTGCAGTTCTTGGGAGTGGGTTCTTAGACGGGTTAGGATAATTTTTTCTACCACTTTGCTCATAGCCGGGAGCAGGCTAATGGGCCGGTAGTTGGATGGGATGGTGTGATCTTTGTTGGGTTTTGGGATAAGGATTATGTTTGCTGTTTTCCAGCGGGTAGGGAAGTGTCTTAGTCTGAGTGTCGCGTTTGTTATGTTTAGTAGGGCCATGAGGCCCTTGTGTGGTAGTCGTTTAAGTGTCGTGTTATGTATATTGTCGGGTCCGGGGGCTTTTCTGTTTTTAAGTCTGCGTATTGTCAGTCTTAGTTCGTCAGGTGTTGCGGGGGGGATTATGTCATTGTCTGGCTCTCTGTCGACGCGTCGGGCCGCGCGCTCAGCCACTATCTCGAATTCCTCGTCTTCGTCGGGCAGCTGAGGCAGTCTACACTGCAGTTCCAGGCTATCGGCGAAAGCCTCGGCCTTTTCCTGGTTCGTGTAAACCACCCCCACACTACCGTGGATTGGAGGAATTTTACGGCGAGCGGTCTGTCGCAGGGCCCTCTGCGTTTTCCAGAGGCTGTTGTCTTGTGGATCCAGCGACTCCAGGTGCCTAGCCCAGTTATCCTGGGCCAGTTCATCCAGAGCCGCCTTCACCCGTCTGTTAAGTACGTTTAAGTCATGTCTGTGTCGGGGGAGGCGGGTGCGGGTGGCAAGCCGTTTCGCACGTCGTCTGTCACGTATTAAGTTTTTTATGTCATCGGGGAGGGTGCCCCGGGGGTTTGTCAGTCGGGGGACAATAGTCTCCGTCGTAGTCTGAGTCAGGGCGTTTTTAATGTCAGTCTCAAGGGAGAGGATTGCCGCCTCCAGATCATGGGTGGTTTCGATGACTGGGAGCGCCATGTTTCCTTGCATTACTGTTCGGAAACGCTCCCAGTCAGTGAACCTCCTCGTGAAGGTGCCTTCATATCTCTGTCTTCGCCCCAGATCCAGAAATATTGGATTGTGGGCGGAAGACCCTTCGTATTGGGTGGATATTTGGGCATTTAACGGTATAGATTTTAAGAGGGCAATGTCGATAACGTCGGGGCGTCCTACGGGTCCGTAATGTGTCGGTTCTGTCGGTCCGAGTATAGTCAAGTCGTCGTGTCTGTCTTGGTAATTCAGCAGGACGCGACCTCTTGTGGTCGTCGTCCCGCTGTGCCATATGGGGGACTTCGCGTTGAAGTCCCCGATGGCAATTGTCTGGGGCCAGGAAAGGATTTTGTCTAAGTCATTGTCAAGTAGTGGTAGTCTGGGTGGGTGGTAACAGGACACCACCGCAACGTCTCCATGCCGTAGCGATCTCACCGCTATCGCCACGGCCTCTGTGTTTTGAGTTTGGAGCCGCTGCAGCGGATAGTGGTCGATGCACTTCTTTACTATGAGTGCAACACCACCCCCGTTACGGTTTCTGTCATGTCTGTATATGTCATAGTCAGGGATGGAGGTACGGGATGCCTCGCTGAGGTAGGTCTCCTGGACAGCCATAACGTCTATGTTTAGACGGTTCAAGATGTCCACGAGTTCCGTTTTTTTGGCCCGGAACCCGTCAAGGTTCCAGGACGAAATTCTCAGCGAGGAGGGTTGGGAGGGCCGACGAGCCATTAGAAGTCGAATAATTTTTGCATATTCGACACCATGGTCGTCAGCTGGACGCAGAAGTCCTGAAGACGCTTTGTTGCGTCAATCAGGGCCGCCGCGCCCGATTGGGAGGGTGTCGTGTTTGTGTGTGCGTGTGGTGAGGTGTTGTGTTTTTGTTTTTGTGTGTTTTGTGTTTTTCTGGTCATATCAGCATATGTGAGTCCCGGGGTTGTGTTTGGGGTGGGTAGGAGGGGTTGTCTGTGTGTTTGTGTAGTGTTTTGTGACGTATGTGTGTTTGTGTTTTGTGTTTTTGTGTTTTTAGCTTTGGGGTACTGAGGGCACCCCATATAGCTGGCGGGGTGTGGCCCGGCGCAATTTGCACACCTGGCGGGCGTGTCTTTGGCCTTTTTGCATATGTGCGTGCTGTGGTTTTCGCCACCTTTTACGCACTTTGGCTCAGCTGTGCACCGGGTCTGGCCGTGGCCGAACCGCTGGCACCGGTGGCACTGTGTGGCAACCCGCTGCTTTCGCTGCAGCTCTACTCGAACCACGAGCGAGCAGCAGCGGGTTACCTTCAGGATGTCCTCCTGGTCCTGTGGGGCCTGAACTAGGACCAGGGGCATTTCCTGTTTATTTTGACGGCTCGCCATGCGGTGCACTATTGCGTCGGGGAACCCTTGTCTTGCGAGGTCGAGTTGGACCTCACTTGGCGAAACACCCGCAGGTATTCCGCGTATCACCACCCTCAGCGTTTTTTCTTCGCTGAGGGTGAAGGTGTGGTACTCCTCGCCTTTGTCAGTGTCTTTGTCAATGGTCTGTGGTCATTTGGTGTGTTTGGGTATATCGCTATACCGTATTTAGTGAGTTTGGCTTTTATGTAGTTAATGTTAAGTGTTTGTATTGTATATATTGTATATGTATTTTTTGTACTTGCGTCCACCGTTCTTGCTTTCGCAAGATTACCGGGGGGACTTGTTTGGTTTTCTCTGTCTGTTTTTGTGTGTTTTGTGGGGTGTTTTTTGCGCTTGTGGAGGAGGGTGGTGTCGGGGGGGGGCGNTGTGTTTTTGTTTTTGTGTGTTTTGTGTTTTTCTGGTCATGTCAGCGTATGTGCGTCCTGGGGTTGTGTTTGGGGTGGGTAGGAGGGGCTGTCTGTGTGTTTGTGTAGTGTTTTGTGTCGTGTGTGTGTCTGTGTTTTGTGTTTTTGTGTTTTTAGCTTTGGGGTACTGAGGGCACCCCATATAGCTGGCGGGGTGTGGCCCGGCGCAATTTGCACACCTGGCGGGCGTGTCTTTGGCCTTTTTGCATACGTGCGTGCTGTGGTTTTCGCCACATTTTACGCACTTTGGCTCAGCTGTGCACCGGGTCTGGCCGTGGCCGAACCGCTGGCACCGGTGGCACTGTGTGGCAACCCGCTGCTTTCGCTGCAGCTCTACTCGAACCACGAGCGAGCAGCAGCGGGTTACCTTCAGGATGTCCTCCTGGTCCTGTGGGGCCTGAACTAGGACCAGGGGCATTTCCTGTTTATTTTGACGGCTCGCCATGCGGTGCACTATTGCGCCGGGGAACCCCTGTCGTGCAAGGTCGAGTTGGACCTCACTTGGCGAAACACCCGCAGGTATTCCGCGTATCACCACCCTCAGCGTTTTTTCTTCGCTGAGGGTGAAGGTGTGGTACTCCTCGCCTGAGTTTCGTAGGCGTCCCTAAAAAAATTTTCTGCTAAATGTAAAAAAATTATAATAATTTGTATATAATGTGTAGAAAATTTCTATTATATGTTCATTTGGCCAACAACATATTTTAATTATTTATGTCTTCAAACATTACATTGGTGGTAAATTTCGTTTTGTTCCGTTTCAAAAGGTCTCCAAAATAATATTAGTAAACAAAATATCGCCCTCTTATTTCTCCCTTTCGCAATTGTAATATGAATGATTGATATAAGGTGCCTATAATAAATTAAAATTACCTGAATCACACCAAATTCCGCATTGCTGCACTGTACTGCTGGTCAATTTATCAACCACTTGTCATTTGCTGTGATTTATTGCCCAGTAGCCCAATGAAACTGTGATCGTTTTCCTTTGCCCGCGCTCGCATTCTTCAACTGAGCGTATACATTTCTATCACCTCCCCATTTAGTTCGACCAGAACTGTATATGGGTATGGCTAAATAAATATGGGAACAAGTTTTTCAAATATTTCAATGCCGAGTTGCTGCGTCAGCGACCGAACTTGGTACATACTATCAAACTGTTGGTCCTTCAATTGATATCGTAAAGACTATACTGTTTTGTGAACTTGTGTGGAAACACGAAACACAGATTTCTGATCTGAATGCAGTAGAGGAAATTCTGAGTTTTAGTTTTTTTGCTACTATCAGTAAAAGACAGCAACAGACAAAATTTCATGCAACTGAGTGGACTGCAGTTGCTATCACACTCCGCCAGGCGCGGATCCAAGAGGGGGCGATGGGATCGCCCCCCAAATGGGATCCGAAAAAAAAGCAAAGATCAAACAGAATAAATTAACAAGGATAACATTTTTAAGCTAAAAAATTATCTCAGTTTTTTCAGACATCAACTATACAAACTTCCCCCAAAGTTTTACCGCAAGATGGACAGATAGATTGTACCATTGTTATTAAATTTATAAGCTACGCTAATAGCTTTAAATCTACCGATTGTAGGTCACTTTTTTGGAAAGTTGCCGGTAAATCAGCTCAAGCATTCAGGTTCACTTCATTACCGATGGTATTGTCAGATACTGTACTGAATCATATTGTATCATAAGCTGTAACACTGGTACAAAATATTGAGTATCGGTATGAAGAAAAATCCGATACTCAGAAAAATCATACCTTACAGACATCTCTAAATTATATGTATATTCCAATACATCATGCATCGTGTAAATAATGTAAATGTGTACCATTTAAATGTTTGGTTAATTTTACATATTTATGGTTGGTTTATAAAAAAGTATTAGTCCTAACTTAGCCGTAACTTAACCTTAATCTTAGTCCTAAAAAGTTAAATGTACATAATGTAATGTATCGGTTTATAAAAATCCCTAGTCGTAAGGAGGTCTTAAGACATGACCTTGAAAGTTCGCATCTTTTAATTTTTCTAGGATTAAGACTAAGATCTGAGAAGTGCGCATGCACAAGTATTGCATTTCGTAGCATAGTGGCCTCCTGTCTTTGTCTATGGTGGTCGCCAATACGCCATTACCATAGTAATAGGTTATATTTTTCTTTTCACTCACCAACAAAACAAATAAAATAACATTACCACAGAATAATAAACAAGTATTATGCTGTGATATTACTAGCCATGCGCGTAGTCGAATCGCTCATTGGTTAATCTTAATAAAATTAGGACCACACATTGTTTTTATAAACGTGTACCTATTCTTAGGACTAATACTAAGGTTAGTGTAAAGGTTAATACTAAGACTAAGACTAAGTTAGGACTAATACTTTTTTATAAACCAACCATTCCAGTTTAGGGTACTTTTTAAGAAATAATGAATATTTCTGTGATACAGATACAATTTGATTTAAAATACCAATAAAATTTTCTAGGAATTTTATGAAAATATAAGTAACTGTAATGAGAAATTGCTAAAATTTGTCATCCATTCCGAAATGACGAACATTATAATTTGATAAAATTAATCCTACTCACTGTTTGTCTCCTTCTATTTCTTCTAAATAAATTATTTATTAAAATAATAATTTTAATGACTTAAATAATAAAGTTGTAACACAAATATTTTTGTAGCATTTATTAGTAAAATACAATAAATATACACATATGAAAATAAGTAAAACAATATAAACAAAAATAGGTACTTATATATTTAATCAGAATCACGAGCTTCCGCTAATTCAAACCATTCTCTGTAAGGCTCCTCCAGGTCGTGGAAAGTTCTAAAGTTTATAATTACCTAGAAAATAATAATTAATTGAATTAGACTCTTAACCTGGGTTGTAAATAGGTACATCTCACCTGCCCAATGATGTTGGAATTGAAGAACATCTTTTTACTTTTTACAGTTAGGATTAATTTAGACCTTGATAGCTCAGTTTGTGTCAGTAAATATTCAAAAGTTTCCTCAAAAACCGGATCACAGTTATCAGTAATTACCTAAAATTGCATTAAATCAGCTGAATATTTATGTGGACATAATGTGGACATTTGTAAACTGTTATGTTAATCGTCGTTTATAGTTTTACCTACCTTAGTTTTATGTTTAATACTGTGGGTCTCTGGAGTTATCAACTTCAGTTTTACATAAGGATCTGGAATGTCGCTTGCATCTTTCAGTAATAAATTTCTGGAAGAGGAAAATTGTATAAGCAAATGTAAGATAAACGTCTACAAATCTTACGTGATCTTGTGCACAGTAACTACCAGTTTTTGTCTTGCTTCGCTGTAGAACAGTGTTAATTCCATCTGACCAAGGTCTGGCTTCCTGAAATTAGCGCAATTTCAAATATTTAATTTGTGCCGTTTAGTTTATCAAACAATTTTAAATACATTTTCACAGAATTTGGTAGACGTGACGACCTTTGATATCGCAAGGTAAGTTAAATAAAAAAGACTTACACTCTGAAACTGGGACTTTTTCTGACAGTATGTGACGATGCCTGAACATGTTCTACTACTGATTGTTCCATAACCTCTTTGGCTTCTTGCACTGGGAAACTTTTAGATGACGAATTTGTACTTGAGGACGAAACTGAAAATGGTTTTATGTTAGTCATAACTGATGAGTTTCAAATTAGAGAGAGTAAAGTTAAATAACACCCAAACTTTTTTGTATTTATAGGGTGAATTATTAGAACCCAGAATATTTTAAAGGTGTGGTAAAACTTCAAGGAAGCCCAAGTCTTAATTATTTTTTTATTTGTCCCTAATTCCCTTTGTTGAGTTTGTGGAGCACTATTCGCTATTAATGGGAGCCGCTCATCAAATACATAATTATATCACCTTGACGCACTTGACGCCGTGCAAGTACAAATCTGTTCAATAAGACTGCGATGTAAAAGTGTAACAATTGTAATATGAACGTAAAGTCAGAACCTGCAGATTTTGCACGTCGGCGGAAACATTGCAAATGATTCCTTTAGAATCTCCCCAGATCTGCAGTGTACACAAAGTGCTCTTTGAACAGACAATTCTGTGTCTAATTTATACAGGGTGGTCCTTAAGTAATTGTACATAGAAGTATGATAGATTTGTGACTTTAAAATATTACGATTTGAGCCAACTTGCCTTAATAAAATATTGATAATAAGAATGATAAAGGGTGTTAAAAGTGAAATTTCAAAATTTATTTTTCACAATAACTTGAACATTTTTGGACAGTTATACAAAAAAATTTTTATCTGGCGATTTTTTGGTATGAGAAATCATAATTTGATATCTAATTTAATGTATCTTTTAGAAGGCGCCACATAAGCCACATGTGTGGCATAAATGTACACTAAACTTTTTNACTTTTTCTGACAGTATGTGACGATGCCTGAACATGTTCTACTACTGATTGTTCCATAACGTCTTTGGCTTCTTGCACTGGGAAACTTTTAGATGACAAATTTGTACTTGAGGGCGAAACTGAAAATGGTTTTATGTTAGTGATAACTGATGAGTTTCAAATTAGAGAGAGTAAAGTTAAATAAGACCCAAACTTTTTTGTATTTATAGGGTGAATTATTAGAACCCAGAATATTTTAAAGGTGTGGTAAAACTTCAAGGAAGCCCAAGTCTTAATTATTTTTTTATTTGTCCCTAATTCCCTTTGTTGAGTTTGTGGAGCACTATTCGCTATTAATGGGAGCCGCTCATCAAATACATAATTATATCACCTTGACGCACTTGACTCCACACTTTTGTAGTTTAGTTCAGTGACTCGCCGTGCAAGTACAAATGTGCTCAATAAGACTGCGATGTATAAGTGTAACAATTGTGATATGAACGTAATAATGAAGTTTTAGAACTGCAGAAAGTCAGAACCTGCAGATTTTGCACGTCGACGGAAACATTGCGAAAGTGCTCTTTGAACAGACAATTCTGTGTCTATAAGACCACGAATTTTTGTTAATAGAAATAGTATTTTTTTAATTTATATATGTATTTTCAGGGCTAACAAGGAATATACTAATATAAACTTCACATCTCTGCGATATAAATTATTTGAAGGTTTGCCTTCAGACATCTTACAGAGGACACTATTTTCTCTGGAGATACATAAACAGCTTGGTACCTATATATTATGAACAAGACCTATAGTAGGATCGTATACGATGCAAAGTAGAGCAAAAAATTGCCGGCCTTTTATCAAAGGAAAATCGTGTCATCGTTTTTAGGAGGCGTAAGATAAATCATTTCAAATTTAAAATGAAATTCAATGTAAAATCTGAAATACCGCTGCATACGCACTGTGTTCTGGTAGTAGCTGTAGTCGCCCAGGTGCATCGAGTGTACGAACTGGTCGGTTATACGTCAAATACTAACCTGGCGAGCTTTGCCGTCAATTAGAGAGCGCTTCCAAAAAACAAGTAAACAACAGTGGCGCGTACAGAGGTAAAATGTAGTACATATGTGGAATTTAGGAAACAAATTGGATTTATAATAAATTACATTTAAAATAAATAGTTTATGAGAATAAAGGAATTTTTGTAG